GACTGGGGCGTGAAACCACACTTGCAAGCCTGGATGTAGCAAAGGCAATGTCAGGCCGCGTGTGGTTAGCCGCATAATTGAGTGCCCCCACCATGGAATGAAACAGCTTCCTGTCACTCTCACCCACCACCTCCTCATCAGCACAGGGCTCCACAGTGAACCCCAAAGGCAGTGGGGTGGCTGGCTTTCCTCCATCTTGCAGCCCATACTTCTCAGCCAGCCCCTCGCAATACTTTCTCTGGTGCAACCTTAACACTCCCTTGTCAAGGTCCCTCTCCACATGCATGCCCAAATAGTACTTCACATCTCCCATCTTGGAGCACTTAAACTGCATCTCCAGCATCTCCTCCACATGCTCAATCATTGCAGACGACTTAGAGAAGAGCAGGATGTCGTCCACATACACCAGGAGCATGAGAAACTGCTCCTTCTCTTGCAGCAGGAACAAGCTGTGATCACACTCACTCTTCTTGAAACCCCCAGCAAGCAGTGTCTCCTCCAACTTGTGGTACCATGCGCGAGGAGCCTGCTTAAGGCCATAGATGGCCTTCTTGAGCCTGCACACCCTGCCGCTCCCATCATCCAACCCCTCAGGCTGCAGCATGTACAGCTCCTCTAGGATGATCCCATTAAGGAAAGAAGTTGTGATATCCATCTGCTTGATCCTCCATCCACGGTTTGCAGCCATTCCCAACATCACCCTTAGTGTAGTCCCTTTCCCCACAGGAGCAAAGATCTCGTCAAAGTCCTTCCCATTTGTCTGCTGAAACCCCTTTGCCACAAGCCTTGACTTGTAGCGAGTCAGCTCCCCATCAGGTCCGTACTTGTGCCTGAAGATCAGCTTGGAAGAAATGGCCTTCTTCCCAGGAGGCAGCTCACACAGCTCCCACGTTTCATTCTCCAGCAGAGAGTCATACTCCTCCTTCACACTCTGCTTCCACTTCTCAGCATCGGGCCCACTCAAGGCCTCAGCTAGCGTCTTGGGCTCAGGGACGGCTGCCCAGTAGCAGTGTGCTATCTCTTCCTCATCACACTGCTCAGCCACACTCCCAGCCCGTACCACCTTTGGCTTGCCAAAGCTCGGATAGGTCAGCCGGTTAGGAGGGCGCACATCCCTCCTAGGTTGGTCAGCCGGACGTGCGGCACCTTGTGGAGCATCTTGCTGCTGCAGCTGCTGCTGCTGCTGCTGCTCCTCCACCTCAGGTTCTCCCCCATCCTCAGTCACCCCAGAAATCTCCTCCTCTGAGACAGTGACCTGCACTTGCCTCAAAGGCCGCTGCACCTCATCGGCCTCAATGATCAGCGGTGTAGTAGGAAGCTTCTGCTGCTGCTGCTTCCACTCCTTGTAGTACAAGGACTCAAGGAACTTCACATCCCTTGACACAGTCAGCTGCTGGCTGGTCAAGTCCCATATCAACCAGCCCTTATGATCCTTAGCAAGCCCCAAGTGTACTCCCCATCTCCCACTAGCCTCCAACTTTCCCCTCTTCTCCTTAGGCACATGAAACACCACCATGCAGCCGTAGGCTCTCAGCATGTTGACTGCTGGTGCACTCCCATACCACTTGGTGTAGGGGACCCACTGCTTGTCCCCCACAGTCGCCAACACCCTGTTCTTCACAAGGGCGACCTGCCGCAGTGCAGTCACCCAAAACGGATCCGGCAGCCCTGCACGCCCAAGGAGAGTGCGAGCACCTTCTTGCAGGGTCCGGTTGAACCGCTCAGCCACGCCGTTCTGCTGAGGGTTGTAGGGCACTGTGAGCTGATGCTGGATCCCCTTCTTCTTCAGCACCGACTCAAAATCAGCACCAATGAACTCTCCCCCATTGTCGGTGCGGATCACCTTCACCTTGTGTCCGCTCTCCCTTTGAGCTCTCGGCATCCACTCCTTAAGAACAGCCGCTGCCACTTCCCCCTTAGTCTTGAGAGGGTACACCCACACGGCACGCGTGTGGTCGTCCACAATGGTTAAGAAGTAGCGGCTGCCCGAGAGAGAAGGGGCCCTCGTAGGGCCCACCACATCCATGTGCACAAGTGCGAGCGGGGCCTTAGCTGGTCCCGTGCCGCTGCTGAACGGAAACTTTGTGAACTTGGTCTCAAGGCATGTAGGGCAGCTCCCAATCTCCTTTGCTGCCCCCTTCACCTCCAACCCCTTCAAGCTCCCATCCTTCACTAACTTCTGCAGCATAGGAATGTTGATGTGACACAACCTCTCGTGCCACGTCTCCCAATCGGCATCACCATTCCCAGATGAAGCCTTTGCCCATGCAGCGGTTGCATCCACACCAGCAAGCACCTCACCATGTGGCTGCTGTGACTGCTGCACCTTCTTGACTGCATCTAGGGCCCCATCGGTTGGTGCAGTCTCCTCTCCTCCCGCAGTTGTTTTAGCCGTTGCTGCTGCCGCTGCCGTTGCTGGTGGTTTCCCATTCCAAGGGATGATGGGCAGCTGCCATAGGTCCTTGATGCAGCTGCTCTTCTCCTCCAAATCCCACAGCAGCAATTTCCCAAGCTTTGCACGGCAGCTGGTTGGGCCGAAGGTCACTTTGGCCTTGCTTTTCTGCAACCGGCGCACAGAGAGGAGGTTAGCGGACAAACCTTCAACCAACAACACATTCCCCAGCCCCACAAGCCCCCCATTGGCTCCCATCACCTTGGCATTCCCAACACCAATCACAGGGAGCAAAGCACCTGAAGCGGCAGCCACAAACTTGATCTTTCCAGGGGGCTTTACCTCATCAAGCAAATCTGCCCGTGGGGTCATGTGACTTGTGCAACCTGAATCTATCACCCAGTGAGTGAGGGGGTGCATCACAACCTTTCCAACTGTGCCCACATCACCCTCACTCCCTTTCACATCCTCAACCATGAGGAACATTCCAGGGTTGGCTTTACCGTGTGCACCATCACCTTGTGCACCTGAACCTTGCACAGCGCCACCTCGTGCACGTTCACCACTTGGCGGCTTCATGCCTGGAGGCGCCCATCCCTCAGGTCGGCTGAAACACTTGAACTACGGGTGTCCAGCCTTCTTGCAGTACCAACACGCACCCTCCATTCGGGTGCTCCCTCTGCCACCAGAGCTCCCATGCCCCTCATTGTAGTCACCTCGGCCTCTCCCTCTGCCAAAGCCTCTCCCACGGCCTCGGCCTCTCCCTCCCCCTCTTCCCCTGCTGCCTCCTGCAGCTCCATACCCCTCAGCAGTTTTGTTGGCAGTACCACCACCCGTGTGGCGCCTGCGGAAGTCCTCCTGCAGAATCTGCTGCCGTAGCCACTCAGGTGTCCACTGGTCCTGCTGAGTGTTGAGGGTGGGGATGAGGTTGTCCCACGAGTTGTCGAGCACCGAGATGATTTTGGTGCACTGCTGCATCTGCGACACATTGCTGCCCGCCGCTGCCATCCTCGCATAGGTGTCATTGATCTTGTCAAGGACCAGCTTCACATCATCGCCCGGTCGCATGGAGAGGGCAGCCAGCTCCTTCTCCAACACAATCACCATCGGCAGCGTGTTGGGCTGAATCACGTCGCACAGTAGCTTCCACGCCTTTGGACCGGAATCATCCAACTCCACCAAATCCTTGATGTGTTGGAACATATCGTTGTTGACCGATTGAAGGATTAGGTCGTACAGCACCGCACTCTTCTCAATCCACCGATCGCGAGCATCTCCTTCCTCTGGCATCTTCTCTTCACCCATCGCAAGTTTCAGCAGCTTGTAGCGCTTGAATGCACTCCGCATCCGCCCGCTCCATTCCTCATAGTTTGAGCCATCCAATGCCTCGATCTTGGATGGTGGCGGCTCATTCCTCTTCTCAACTGCATCTCCACTCCCTTGACTCATTTCCTCTGCTCCCAAGCACAGGTTCCAGTTCCCCCCTTGTTGTCCACACCGAAGTCCCACTCAATTTCCACAAGTGTCGGCGCCAACGAAATTTCGGCAGAGTTTCCCCTTAGCGGAAGTCACATGCAACCTCCAGAACTCCACTTAGGCACGCCCACAGGCCATGGTGGGTCTAGGAGGGTCTTCACACTTCAGTAGACTCTCCACAAAGTCCTTAATCAGCTCTGATACCACTTGTTAGAGACTAAGGACGGAGTCTATGAAGATTAAGGGCCGAAATATCTTAAAATCGTCAACTATAATTCAGGACAGAAAAGTCATCGTCACAAGAAACGTCGTCGACGATTAACGCACGATTAGAATTCTCTCAAACTCGAGTATGTTGTAGCTCTTGACCGTGGCTATCTTTCCCAATTTGAATAGTATCAAAATATGGAGTTTAACTCGAGTTATGAACTTCGGCGCACTAGGGGGTATGCTGCCATAGAAAACGTAACTCAATAACAATAATCTCACAAGTTCACACAAGAAAGTTAGAGTGGCAATAGAACCAGGTAGGAGAGGATGAGGAGGACGAGAGGGAAGGTTCCAAGGGTGTCCCCAACCAAGGAAACCCCATACCACACAATTCCCCTCTCTATAGGCACCCCAACTTTGACATTTGTCACTTTCCCAACTCATGCCATCCACCTCACCCAACTTGGCCACACTTGCCAACCTGGTTTGGCACCTCCCAACCACTTGGCAGCATCTACAGTGATGTTGACGAATTTCCCAACCCCCAAGAGTCTGTACTCCTTATGGAGTCAACACCACAACTTCCCATAGTCACCACAACCAAATATCAAAAGCATACGAACTTCCAACGTTCGTAACTTTCTTGTTCGTGCTCCGATTGAAGCGATACTTGGTTCGTCGGAAAGCTCTTGATCAGAGGAGTCACTTCAGATATCTGCTCAAGCCAAATAACATTCACACACACTCAGAAAAACCAAACCGCACAAAACACAAATTCTTGCATACGCTCACACCACGCATGCAACGCACGAACACATGATGGGAGGCAGACAGACGTGAATGCATATGATTGCATCTTACAACAAACTCCCCCTCTGGCTGCCAACCATCATCCCACATGTCATAGCTCAAGCATGCACCCTCAATGCACACTCATCACAGCAAGCTTCATGCCCTTCCAATGCTCAGATTCAGCCAGGCGCTTGGTGAGAATGTCAGCCGCCTGCTGATGGGTCTTCACAATCTCCAGCCGCACCTCCTTGTCCAGGAGCCTCCTCACCCAATGCCACTTAGGCCTGATGTGCTTCGTCAGCCCATGAAGGCAAGCGTTCTTAGCAAGCTTCACAGCCGACTCGTTGTCACAGAAAATCACAGTTGGCTCCTTCTGGCACACTCCAATCTCCTCCAACAAACGCCTCAGCCACACCACCTCCTTTGCCCCATGATGCAGAGCCATGTACTCTGTCTCACACGAGGACTGCCCCACCTCGTTCTGCTTCTTGCTGCGCCAGCTCACTGCACCACCTCCAAACAGGCACACATAGCCTCCAATGCTGGTGCCATCCGCCTTCACAGAGTTGAAGCTAGCGTCGGTGTAGCAGGTCAGGAGCATCTCCCCCTTGCCCAAATCAGCTGCACCCCTCTGCAGCCTCTGTCGCACAGCACTGTACTCCAAGCCCACTGATGCCGTAGCGCTCACATAGCGGACCAACCTCTTGGCCGCTTCCAGCTGCTCATGACTGGGGCGTGAAACCACACTTGCAAGCCTGGATGTAGCAAAGGCAATGTCAGGCCGCGTGTGGTTAGCCGCATAATTGAGTGCCCCCACCATGGAATGAAACAGCTTCCTGTCACTCTCACCCACCACCTCCTCATCAGCACAGGGCTCCACAGTGAACCCCAAAGGCAGTGGGGTGGCTGGCTTTCCTCCATCTTGCAGCCCATACTTCTCAGCCAGCCCCTCGCAATACTTTCTCTGGTGCAACCTTAACACTCCCTTGTCAAGGTCCCTCTCCACATGCATGCCCAAATAGTACTTCACATCTCCCATCTTGGAGCACTTAAACTGCATCTCCAGCATCTCCTCCACATGCTCAATCATTGCAGACGACTTAGAGAAGAGCAGGATGTCGTCCACATACACCAGGAGCATGAGAAACTGCTCCTTCTCATGCAGCAGGAACAAGCTGTGATCACACTCACTCTTCTTGAAACCCCCAGCAAGCAGTGTCTCCTCCAACTTGTGGTACCATGCGCGAGGAGCCTGCTTAAGGCCATAGATGGCCTTCTTGAGCCTGCACACCCTGCCGCTCCCATCATCCAACCCCTCAGGCTGCAGCATGTACAGCTCCTCTAGGATGATCCCATTGAGGAAAGAAGTTGTGATATCCATCTGCTTGATCCTCCATCCACGGTTTGCAGCCATTCCCAACATCACCCTTAGTGTAGTCCCTTTCCCCACAGGAGCAAAGATCTCGTCAAAGTCCTTCCCCTTTGTCTGCTGAAACCCCTTTGCCACAAGCCTTGACTTGTAGCGGGTCAGCTCCCCATCAGGTCCGTACTTGTGCCTGAAGATCAGCTTGGAAGAAATGGCCTTCTTCCCAGGAGGCAGCTCACACAGCTCCCACGTTTCATTCTCCAGCAGAGAGTCATACTCCTCCTTCACACTCTGCTTCCACTTCTCAGCATCGGGCCCACTCAAGGCCTCAGCTAGCGTCTTGGGCTCAGGGACGGCTGCCCAGTAGCAGTGTGCTATCTCTTCCTCATCACACTGCTCAGCCACACTCCCAGCCCGTACCACCTTTGGCTTGCCAAAGCTCGGATAGGTCAGCCGGTTAGGAGGGCGCACATCCCTCCTAGGTTGGTCAGCCGGACGTGCGGCACCTTGTGGAGCATCTTGCTGCTGCAGCTGCTGCTGCTGCTGCTGCTCCTCCACCTCAGGTTCTCCCCCATCCTCAGTCACCCCAGAAATCTCCTCCTCTGAGACAGTGACCTGCACTTGCCTCAAAGGCCGCTGCACCTCATCGGCCTCAATGATCAGCGGTGTAGTAGGAAGCTTCTGCTGCTGCTGCTTCCACTCCTTGTAGTACAAGGACTCAAGGAACTTCACATCCCTTGACACAGTCAGCTGCTGGCTGGTCAAGTCCCATATCAACCAGCCCTTATGATCCTTAGCAAGCCCCAAGTGTACTCCCCATCTCCCACTAGCCTCCAACTTTCCCCTCTTCTCCTTAGGCACATGAAACACCACCATGCAGCCGTAGGCTCTCAGCATGTTGACTGCTGGTGCACTCCCATACCACTTGGTGTAGGGGACCCACTGCTTGTCCCCCACAGTCGCCAACACCCTGTTCTTCACAAGGGCGACCTGCCGCAGTGCAGTCACCCAAAACGGATCCGGCAGCCCTGCACGCCCAAGGAGAGTGCGAGCACCTTCTTGCAGGGTCCGGTTGAACCGCTCAGCCACGCCGTTCTGCTGAGGGTTGTAGGGCACTGTGAGCTGATGCTGGATCCCCTTCTTCTTCAGCACCGACTCAAAATCAGCACCAATGAACTCTCCCCCATTGTCGGTGCGGATCACCTTCACCTTGTGTCCGCTCTCCCTTTGAGCTCTCGGCATCCACTCCTTAAGAACAGCCGCTGCCACTTCCCCCTTAGTCTTGAGAGGGTACACCCACACGGCACGCGTGTGGTCGTCCACAATGGTTAAGAAGTAGCGGCTGCCCGAGAGAGAAGGGGCCCTCGTAGGGCCCACCACATCCATGTGCACAAGTGCGAGCGGGGCCTTAGCTGGTCCCGTGCCGCTGCTGAACGGAAACTTTGTGAACTTGGTCTCAAGGCATGTAGGGCAGCTCCCAATCTCCTTTGCTGCCCCCTTCACCTCCAACCCCTTCAAGCTCCCATCCTTCACTAACTTCTGCAGCATAGGAATGTTGATGTGACACAACCTCTCGTGCCACGTCTCCCAATCGGCATCACCATTCCCAGATGAAGCCTTTGCCCATGCAGCGGTTGCATCCACACCAGCAAGCACCTCACCATGTGGCTGCTGTGACTGCTGCACCTTCTTGACTGCATCTAGGGCCCCATCGGTTGGTGCAGTCTCCTCTCCTCCCGCAGTTGTTTTAGCCGTTGCTGCTGCCGCTGCCGTTGCTGGTGGTTTCCCATTCCAAGGGATGATGGGCAGCTGCCATAGGTCCTTGATGCAGCTGCTCTTCTCCTCCAAATCCCACAGCAGCAATTTCCCAAGCTTTGCACGGCAGCTGGTTGGGCCGAAGGTCACTTTGGCCTTGCTTTTCTGCAACCGGCGCACAGAGAGGAGGTTAGCGGACAAACCTTCAACCAACAACACATTCCCCAGCCCCACAAGCCCCCCATTGGCTCCCATCACCTTGGCATTCCCAACACCAATCACAGGGAGCAAAGCACCTGAAGCGACAGCCACAAACTTGATCTTTCCAGGGGGCTTTACCTCATCAAGCAAATCTGCCCGTGGGGTCATGTGACTTGTGCAACCTGAATCTATCACCCAGTGAGTGAGGGGGTGCATCACAACCTTTCCAACTGTGCCCACATCACCCTCACTCCCTTTCACATCCTCAACCATGAGGAACATTCCAGGGTTGGCTTTACCGTGTGCACCATCACCTTGTGCACCTGAACCTTGCACAGCGCCACCTCGTGCACGTTCACCACTTGGCGGCTTCATGCCTGGAGGCGCCCATCCCTCAGGTCGGCTGAAACACTTGAACTACGGGTGTCCAGCCTTCTTGCAGTACCAACACGCACCCTCCATTCGGGTGCTCCCTCTGCCACCAGAGCTCCCATGCCCCTCATTGTAGTCACCTCGGCCTCTCCCTCTGCCAAAGCCTCTCCCACGGCCTCGGCCTCTCCCTCCCCCTCTTCCCCTGCTGCCTCCTGCAGCTCCATACCCCTCAGCAGTTTTGTTGGCAGTACCACCACCCGTGTGGCGCCTGCGGAAGTCCTCCTGCAGAATCTGCTGCCGTAGCCACTCAGGTGTCCACTGGTCCTGCTGAGTGTTGAGGGTGGGGATGAGGTTGTCCCACGAGTTGTCGAGCACCGAGATGATTTTGGTGCACTGCTGCATCTGCGACACATTGCTGCCCGCCGCTGCCATCCTCGCATAGGTGTCATTGATCTTGTCAAGGACCAGCTTCACATCATCGCCCGGTCGCATGGAGAGGGCAGCCAGCTCCTTCTCCAACACAATCACCATCGGCAGCGTGTTGGGCTGAATCACGTCGCACAGTAGCTTCCACGCCTTTGGACCGGAATCATCCAACTCCACCAAATCCTTGATGTGTTGGAACATATCGTTGTTGACCGATTGAAGGATTAGGTCGTACAGCACCGCACTCTTCTCAATCCACCGATCGCGAGCATCTCCTTCCTCTGGCATCTTCTCTTCACCCATCGCAAGTTTCAGCAGCTTGTAGCGCTTGAATGCACTCCGCATCCGCCCGCTCCATTCCTCATAGTTTGAGCCATCCAATGCCTCGATCTTGGATGGTGGCGGCTCATTCCTCTTCTCAACTGCATCTCCACTCCCTTGACTCATTTCCTCTGCTCCCAAGCACAGGTTCCAGTTCCCCCCTTGTTGTCCACACCGAAGTCCCACTCAATTTCCACAAGTGTCGGCGCCAACGAAATTTCGGCAGAGTTTCCCCTTAGCGGAAGTCACATGCAACCTCCAGAACTCCACTTAGGCACGCCCACAGGCCATGGTGGGTCTAGGAGGGTCTTCACACTTCAGTAGACTCTCCACAAAGTCCTTAATCAGCTCTGATACCACTTGTTAGAGACTAAGGACGGAGTCTATGAAGATTAAGGGCCGAAATATCTTAAAATCGTCAACTATAATTCAGGACAGAAAAGTCATCGTCACAAGAAACGTCGTCGACGATTAACGCACGATTAGAATTCTCTCAAACTCGAGTATGTTGTAGCTCTTGACCGTGGCTATCTTTCCCAATTTGAATAGTATCAAAATATGGAGTTTAACTCGAGTTATGAACTTCGGCGCACTAGGGGGTATGCTGCCATAGAAAACGTAACTCAATAACAATAATCTCACAAGTTCACACAAGAAAGTTAGAGTGGCAATAGAACCAGGTAGGAGAGGATGAGGAGGACGAGAGGGAAGGTTCCAAGGGTGTCCCCAACCAAGGAAACCCCATACCACACAATTCCCCTCTCTATAGGCACCCCAACTTTGACATTTGTCACTTTCCCAACTCATGCCATCCACCTCACCCAACTTGGCCACACTTGCCAACCTGGTTTGGCACCTCCCAACCACTTGGCAGCATCTACAGTGATGTTGACGAATTTCCCAACCCCCAAGAGTCTGTACTCCTTATGGAGTCAACACCACAACTTCCCATAGTCACCACAACCAAATATCAAAAGCATACGAACTTCCTACGTTCGTAACTTTCTTGTTCGTGCTCCGATTGAAGCGATACTTGGTTCGTCGGAAAGCTCTTGAGCAGAGGAGTCACTTCAGATATCTGCTCAAGCCAAATAACATTCACACACACTCAGAAAAACCAAACCGCACAAAACACAAATTCTTGCATACGCTCACACCACGCATGCAACGCACGAACACATGATGGGAGGCACACAGACGTGAATGCATATGATTGCATCACACAACATGAAGAGAGATTGTCCATGGAAGTTTCGCGAACAAAGGCATGAGAGCCCCAGACCCGGAACACCGACGCATCGCCAACCTTCCCCGTCCAACTCAGTGTAGGCGAAGTCTCCGAGAAGGAGACACGGGGCCAGAGGTTGAGCTGATGCACAGTGTACCGGACCGCAAACGGCCACAGAAAATGGGGAGCAGCCGCATGGATCATGGAGGTACGAGCCGCCTCCATGACTAAGCCAAAGCGGCGCTCAACAATCCTATTTTGCTGCTGGGAGGCCGGAAGCGTGAACGACTGGAGGATGCCCTCCCCACGACAAAATTCCCGCAAGAGGTCGGAGGAGAACTCACCACCTCTGTCAGAGTGCAGACACAGGACATGAAGGTCCTCGCGGAACCGCTCGCGGAGCTGGAGACGGACTGCACGGATCCAAGGGATCAAGACATCAAGGACCTCACCCTTGCTGTGCAAGGGGAAGACCGTGGTGTAACGCGTGTAGTCATCAACAACCAGCAGGAAGTAGCGCTCGTGGTCCTGTCCACTGACGCGGGCTGGGCCCCACACGTCCATGTGCTGAGTCTGCAGGGGAGCAATCGTTGGGGGAAACGAGGAGGAGTGAGAAGCGGCGCGCTGCCGCCCCTCGACGCCAGGAAGGCAGGGCAGGGCAGGCAAGGGCAGGAGAGGAGGCAGAGACCTGGGAAGACCAGAAACAAGGAGGCGGGAGTGCATGCCACGAAGGCGTGGCAGGGAGGGTTGACCAAGACGGTGGTGCCACAAGAGAGTCTGGTGCGACAGGAGGCGACACGAGCTGGGGGGTGCTTCTGGGCCTGACGCGGACAACTGGGCAGACGCAGCTACCTAAGGAGGCTCGGTAGCCAGTGTGTACAGACTAGACCCAGGCCGACGGGTGAATGTGGCCAGGTGACGGCCCGTCCGTGTACACGTGCAGATCGACACACGCTGACCCCCAGGAGTGGTGGTAGTGACCATTGCATCCTGGAGGGCAGTGGTACTCACCAATTTCGTAGAGAACGAGGGGAGGTGAAGACCTGACAGTGAGCCGGACGGAACCGCCGGACACGGGAGAACAGTGGAGGAAGGGGCATGAACTGGGCCCCCTGAGGGGTCAGCCAGTCTGACCGGTACAGGTGCAGAGAGAGGAGTGAGGGTGGTACTGTCGCGAAAGAAACAGCGGGAAGCACCTGAGTCAAACGTAAAGGTGTGCAAGGCCTCAGCACCTGGGTCGGGTGGCACACACCGGTAACAGTCACCCTCAACACTAACAGTCAAGGCATACATGGCAGCTAGGATAGCATCAAAGTCAAGAGCAAAGATATCAACTCCAGACCTAAACAGCTCTGCCCAGCGGGGGCGCTCAGCCTCGTCACCAAACTCTGCACGCCAAGAGTCATCTCGGCGGGAGAAGTAGCGGTGTTGAGAGTGAGGCTTCCCGCAGGTGGCGGGAGGGGCGAGAGAGGCTCCAGACGTATGGTCAAACAACGAAACGCTGTCTCTGGAATCGCTCAGTAGGTACAGCTGTAAGTCGTCGAGCCACGTATCGAACTGGATCGGACGGCCCTCATGATCGAATGTGAGCACACTTAGAGAAGCCATAGCGGGCAGAGCAGGGTTGGCAGTAGCCGGGCGGCGCAAGCAGCAGGGGGGGCTGCAGAAGGGCGGCGAGCGGGCTGCCAGAGGGCGGCACGAGGGCTGCAAAGGGGCGGCAAGTAGGCTGCTAGTGGGCGGCGAGCGGGCTGCAAAGGGGCAGCAAGCGGGCTGCCAGCGGATGGCGCGCGGGCTTCAAGGAGCGGCGAGTGGGCCGCAAGGGGCGGCGAGCGGGCTGCAAGGGGCGGCGCGCAGGCTGCAAGGGGCGGCGAGCGGCTGCAAGGGGCGGCGAGCAGGCTGCCAGAGGGCGGCTCGCGGGCTGCAAGGGGCGGCAAGCAGGCCGCAAGTGGGCGGCGAGCGGGCCGCAAGCGGGCGGCGAGAGGGCTGCAAGGGCGGCGAGCAAGCCGCACGCGGGCGGCGAGCGGGCCGCAAGCGAGCGGCGAGCGGGCTGCAGGGGCGGCGAGGGGGTCGCAAGCGAGCGGCGAGTGGGCTGCAGGGGCCGTGAGTGGGCTGCAGGGGTGGTGAGCTGGCTGCAGGGGCGGCGCGCTGGCTGCAGGGGCGGCTCGCGAGCTGCTAAGGGCGGCGCGACGGGCTGCAAAGGGCGGCACAGCGGCCAGCAAGGCGGCGCGCCGTTAGGGCAGGGCGGCAGGGCAGCTAGTGGGGCAGCTCTATGGTGGGCCCTAAGAAAAAATCCGGTCCTAGGGAAGGACCTGCTATGAAACCATGTCAGAATCTAGAACGAGAATGAGATGGATTGAACAG